AAACTCCAGAGCTGCCTCATGTGACGTGTCTCTGTGTGTTTTTCGAAGTTCTCTTTCCCCCGGTTATGTCTACCTGTTGCATCATTTATTGCTGGTGAACATCAACAGTAGGGGATCCTGCTTTGTGTTCAGAGACTTAGAGTTCACCTCACTTCACTGAATAATGCATGCTTTCTAAGTGCCTCCCGTTCTCCTGCATACCCACTGTTACCCAAAGATACTGTCGCAATAGAGTACAAAACTATCCTATTGAAGCAGAAGTCCTGTTTTTGGCCAGTATGAACCTTCCCAACTGTTGTCCTGTGAGATGGTATATTGACTCCTGAAACTGCCATGCTGGGCAAAGAGAGCTCTGTTTTTTTCAGAATATTATTATTGTCCATTTGGTATGGAACAGTGTTTTGTGTCTGCTGCTGTGCTGAGTGTTTTCAATTATAAGAAAATCCCCACAGAGCATGAGTTGATGCAGGGGCTGGGATCTAGCTCTCTGATTTTTAGCAGGGCAGTCGTCACTGATTGTTAAAAGTTATGCGCATGACACAACGAAAGTCCATCTAATCAGTAAGTGGTCAGAATTTTTGCTGGTAATTGTGAGTACTTTTTTGTCAGGTAGTTAAAAATGATATTTCACAACCAGAATGTTATTGCCCATGCATGGGCAGGATAGCTATCCCCAGTGACTGACCTGCATTGGCCCATTATTGACGACAGACTTTTACCAACAGAAAAGAGAGAGAACCGTGGGGCAGATCCATTCAGCTTTGACAGAAACCAGACAGAAGGGGAACAGGAGTCCAACAACTAATGTTCTTAGGAAAGACAGTAAATCAAAGTGTCCCAACCCTAAGTGCTTCAGGAGCAGTCTTGTCTCACCAGACACCCATAGTGTGACATTAACTCAGGAGGACAATATTAAACTAACACCATTCTGTTAATGAAATCTCCATTCCAGTAGTGCTGTCTTTCTCTTGCCATCTTGTGGCCAATGCCAGAGTTGTCCACACAATGAAATTAATCTAAAGACTGCCCAAAAGCAGCTGTTAGTGCGTTACCCTGGGAAGTGTGGTACTGTACAGTCTGCTGCATCCCTTGATTGTGAGGCGTGTCTTCCCTCTTAGCTCTCCAGTGGTACATTTCAATATGAAGTTGATACTTTGGAGGCCAGTTTTCCACCACAGAGCTGTGTTAGTCCAAACCCCACATATTGATGCTCTATTTGTGATGTAGGCTCATAGAAGGGGAATTTATGTTCCTGTGTGTTGATCTGAGCACTAAGATGTGCAATTTTGGAGT